CGTGTGCTCTTCCGATCTGAAACCACGCGATGAATTCCGCTCAAAATTTTACAGTAATCAGCTAAAAGATGCTACTTGTCAAAAAGTAATGTGACTGCGAGTGTTCTCTGACTGATTTTCTAAGAACTTATTAACTTGCCCTCTATTTTATCATTCGTACGCGCGTACGTGTTTGTGTGTATATATGCCTGTTTATGTGTGATGATATTATGACTGGTATCCTATCCCGGAATGTACAAAATATCAAGTCTGATTCATGAATTTTAATCGCTAATAATTAAAAACTATTATAGTCTTGATATTTTCGTATTAGAATTTTCGTTTTAGAATATTACAAAGAATTAGTTTTTTGGTTTAAAAGAAAATGTAAAAATTTAAGAACCCTTTTTTACCACATTCTATGTATATTCTTGGTGAAAACAATTTTCATAATATTTGTAAGAATTTTTCATATTGTAAATTTATTATAATTTCTAAAAAATACTTTAAACTTCTTCAGATTTTATACTTTTTTTGGGGAAATTATACTTTCTTTAGATTTTATACTTTTTTTGGAATAGAAATCGAGAATGTATTTCAGAATTCACATGCATATATTGGATCATTCGGAAAGTTCTGTGATTTTTTTACATTTGCGTAGATACCAGTTTGAATTTTGCGTTAATACTAAATGAGAAAACCCGAAACAGGTTGATAAGACAGATCAATCTTTTGTTTAAAAATTCATCCATAATGGCATATGTTCAGTATATTCGATTCTATAATTCCCTAAAGATGGAAGATCAGAAACAACATTTTTGCAACATTATGCTTTTCTACTTTAGAAAGCAAGAACGCACGCAAGACAGCGTGATAAATTTGTAAAGTTTACAGACAAAATACTATTTCTGATGATATAGTTCAGAGGTGATTTGTGAAATTTCAACAAAATGATTTTACTCTCAAAGACGAAACGGAATCTAAGCGTTCTTACACTGTGGATGGTGATCTACTGAAGCAAGCTATCGCTGAAAATCGTCATTAAACAGTACAAGAACTGGCAAAGAAATTAAAAAATCTAAAAAGTACCGTACATGACAATATCACTTAAACCTGTCCCTATGAAAACCACAGAACTTTTCAGATGAGCTAATATAAAAAAAATCTAGAAAAAAAGTAGATTTTCTTAGAATTTCTAAAAAATTCCAATTTGTATAAAAAATTTGAGAAATTAAAAAAAAATTATGAAATTATCTAAAAAATTCTAAGAAAAATTTTTGCTAGGTATAAGCTGTATTTTTATTAATATAATTATAAGATACTGGTATTGATTGAAATGATATAATATTAATGATATGATATATAATTACATTGTATACAGGGTGTCTCAGGATTCAGCAGGCAAACTGCGGGAGCATATTTTATAAGTAGAAATAAGAAAAAATGTTATGTGAAGTTTGACTAGTAATACTTTATTACAAAATTATAAAATGATACTGAATCATTTAAAGATAATAAATGTGATGTGAATATATATAAGATAAATAGGTTTCCATGTATAAAATGTGCACTTTCATATTCTGCTCAATGGATAATCCGTTGTTTTCTATTTCCTATTCTATTTTTATATTTATTTAAAACTTTGTAATAAAGCATTTCTAGCTAAACTTTATATAGCATTTAAAAAAATTTTTTTAAATTTCCATTTGTAGAATATGCTCTCATAATCTGTTTAATCTTGAGACATCCTGTATATACATATATATAAAATATGTAATAATACATAATGTTATAAAATTAGTACTATAGCCCGACCACTTGATGGAAAGCTATCTCGCGGTCAAGTGATGCTTTTTATTGTGCTTATCTGGACATACACAATTCCTTGGGCCTTAATGCCACTAATGCATGTTTGGGGTCGATTTGTGCCAGAAGGTTTTTTGACGAGCTGCAGTTTTGATTATTTGACAGATACGTCGGAAATACAATACTTTGTGGCCACAATATTCACCTTTTCCTATTGTATACCAATGGTCCTCATCATATATTATTATAGTCAAATTGTCAGCCATGTTATTAGTCACGAGAAAGCTCTTCGTGAACAAGCAAAGAAGATGAATGTCGAAAGTTTGAGAAGCAACGCCGGTACGAATTCTCAGACTATGGAAATACGTATAGCCAAGGTATTCTCCATATATCTTTTTAAGCATATAATATAAGTACAATACATAGATAAAATCGAGTTTTCTATATAAATCTATATAATCAAAGTTCGGATATATCATAATTTGTATATTATTTATATATACATTTATTATTAATTCGAGATAATTGTGGTTTCAAGAAAGCTAATAAACATAGTAGGGTAAAGTAGCGTAATTTGGTCAACAACATTTTTTGAGCGCTGCCAGTCGCACTAGACAATTGTCGTTTATATATGTCATTAAATTGTCATTGTATTAGGTCATTTTTGATGAGACATAGAACTGAATAGGTGTATTAATTTTTGCTCGGCAGGCTAAAGCGAAAAAATTGTGAAAAATAATAATTGATATCATACATTTTATTTTATGAAGTGATGATTTTTTCGTGTCTTGATGCAGGTAATGTGATATGGTTTTTTATTCTCTTTCATGTGATAAATCGCGTTTCGGTGTGAAGCGCGTGGAAACATTTTTACGCCATTTTTTTTTCAACAATTAAGCTTGGTTAGCGTAATTTGGTCAATGGATTTTTTTACACATGTTCACAGATGTAGCACTGAACGTCACATATAAACACATATGGACTCATTTTTTATTTTTTTTGAATTTTTAAATAATTTTTCAACATTTTTTTAAATATTAGAATAGGATTTTATAAGCGAAAAATTGATCGTTTAGCAAAAGATTTCATTGCAATTAATGCCATTAAAGAAATAAAATTGGAAAAGAAATCGATACAAAGCGTTGCTTCATCATATGATATTCATAGAATAAGTTTGAATCGATATGTTTTACAGCTTGATAAGCAGATCGACGATTTTTCAACAATCAGCGACGACGATCTTTTAATAAAAATTCAATCACTTTGTACGGACAGTGCACCAACGGTATATTCTTTCTGATCAATTGATTTCAATACATTTCTTTTTTGATTCTCATTTTTATTGTTTTCATTGTTTATACGTAGATTTTCACAAAAAATCAAGAGATAGCAAATCTGAATACTTGAAAAGTGTGGAGATCTTTATTACGGTCTCAGTATATGGAAGATTAATTTCAATATTCGTGTGTTTTTTTGTGCTTTTATTCAATAAAATTATTAAAAAAAATAATTAAAATTTGAAAATATTCTGTTTTAGCTTTATTTTATGATTTATTTTTCAAGAATTTTTAGGATTTATACAATTGACCAAATTACGCTGTAAAAAAAATCTCGATTTTTTGTGTTTCGGGAAAATGATCATATTTTTTTTTGCGATGAGATAGAAGGTAGGTATATTCGAGAAAAAGTTGCGCTAAGTCTTTATCTTCCCAACGGTATATTTGGTTTCACAAAATTCGAAGAAATACGAGTTTTAGAGTTGTTAAAAAAAAAGTTAACCAAATTACGCTATACTCCCCTACTTATAATAAAAAATAATTGTTGATGTTGATACAATGTAATATTTACTATATATACATTGTTTTAATATAATATTATTTTAATTTATACGTATTTATTACTATGATTTTAGACAATATGTCCACTTCTTATTATTCTAATAATGTTAGCTTAATTACGTTCTGTGTGTGTGTGTGTGTGTGTGTGT